AAGATCTTACATTTTTATGCCAATATCTGGCCTATCGATGACAGTGAGCCCAATGCAACTACAATGAGGCACAAAATGACTCCAAATAGACACAAAATGAATTCAAACAGACACAAACAACATCAAAGACGAACAAAATGACTAAAAATTACTACAAAATGGCTGCAAACACAAATGGTTTCAAATAGACAAAAAAAAAAAAAACTACTTAAAATAAACCAAAAGAGACTCAAAATGACGACAACGAGACGAATGCAACAACAACGAGGCCCAAGATGGCTGCAAACAGCTTCAGAGAGACAAAAAAAGTGTTAAAAAGAGACCAAAAAAGTCAAAAAAAAGACTCAAATCCATCATAAAGGGCCTCAAAGAGCCACAAAATGAAAACAAAGAGACATAAAATAGCTGCAAAGAGACAGAATGACTACAAACAAGAAACCCAGAATGACAGTCAGTGTTGCAGTTACAGGATTTTACCACTAGATGTCGCTGTTCTCTACTTTATTCTTATCAGCATTTTATTCTCTGTGTAGTGATTTCAGTCCAACACCACATTAAAGGTAAAACATTGTTTAACTTTCAGCAGAAGGTTAATTATTGGTTTTAAACACCGTTCTGGTTTCACATTTTATTGCGTTTTGACTGAAGTGACCCTTTAACACAAGCAGCCACGTCTCCGTGGAGGTTCTGGTGCTGTGGATTTCTTTGTTATTGTCTTTTTCATCATCTCTATGTGCAGCTGTTTGCTTTCTAGGCGCCTGTGATCCTCCACTGTGCTGCTTTTCTCTGTGACATTCACAGAACATGGTTTCTGTCCGGAGCCGATCGCTCAGTGGATTTTATCTGGACTTTCTTTTTCTTTCTGTTGCAGCAGCACCACCGATGACGTCTGTGGTGGAAAACCCATTAAAGTGATCGAGTGCGCTTCCATCCATGCACCTGCACACTTCTGTGGAGTTCTTCCTGTTCACGACCCGTCTGAGAACTTAAGTCCGACCCGCCTGGCGCTGTGCAGAATTCATGCACATCATTATTTTATTTATATTTCTACTTTTATCAGCCTTTTCTTTTATGGATTCATTTCTGATTAATATNATTCTAATAGACTCAACCTTTTTCTATATTTAAAGTGTGTAATATGGTCAAATTTAATCTGGCAAACGTTTAAATAAATCCACAATAACAGCTTCAATCTCTTGAATTATTGCTGCTTTAAAACCACTTCAGTCTCTACAGAGGAGAGACTTTAGTCTAATTCTACAGAAATACAACTTTGACAAATGTGCGAGCTCCTTTCTCCTTGATAAAGTTTTAAATGCTCAGTCAGTTTGTTATTATTATATTATATTATAATATTTGTTTCCACTGTCGTCAATCATTTTCATGAATCTGCTGCTCAGTCTTTGTTTTTTTGTTTTTGCACCATAACAGATCCTGTTGCCCCGGAATCCATCAGAAACTCAGTTTACCTTCCTGAGACTGTCAACGTTGATTTACATGCGTTCTGTGTGAGTGAAACAAAAGTTTACTTCCATCTAAAGATCACGTTTATCACGGCAGTCTTGAGTTTCCAATGACTCCAATAACTCTGAATTTTCTATGATGGAATCATTGAAACATGAATCTTTGTCACAAAAAACAATCATGCATTTTAATTCTTTCATAGATTTATTAAAAGTCTTCTGGAAATATGACAAAATCTGCTGGATCACAAATATACACACAGTAGTGCTAATGTTTGGTTAATGTTCTCCTCAGTCGGGTTCTTCTGGTCTCCGTCCACCAGCTTCTGGTCCATCTCTGACTCCTCTGGACAGAATCGCTCCAGTTCACCTAAACTTTCTGACTCAGACTTGGTTCTTCATCAGTCCACAGGTTCTGGATGGTTCCAGGCAGGACTTTGGGGAGACCAGTCTAGAACCTTCATTCCAGCCTGATGGAACCATTTCTTCACCACTTTGATGTGTGTTTGGGCTCATTGTCTGGTTGGAACATCCAACTGTGTCCAAGACCAACCTTCTGCTGATGGTTTGAGGTTTTCCTGAACAACGTGGAGGTGATCCTCCTTCTTCATTGGTCCACTGACTTTGTGTAAAGCTCCAGACCATGATGCTGCCACCTCCATGCCTGATGGTCGGTCTGGTGTTCTTGGGGTTAAAGGCCTCATCTTGTCTCTAGTTTTTGTTCCATCTGACCACTAACTCTCCTCCAAAAGTCCTTTTCTTTCCAGTTCTTAACCTTAATTCTAGCCTGATTTGAACATTTCTTTCCAACTCTTGATGTGCGTTTTGGGTCATTGTCTTGTCTCTGCTCTTTGTAGATGACCTGGTTCTGTTGGCTTCATTAGACCGTGACCTTCGGTGCACACTCGGGGGGTTTGCAGCCGAGTTTAAAGCCCACATCCGAGGCCATTGTTCTTTGCCGGACAATGGTGGATTGCTCCCTTTGGGTTGGGGAGAGTTGCTGCCCCGAGCGAAGGAGTTTCAGTATCTCGGGATCTTGAACGTGGACGGACGGCTTGGTGCAGCTTCAGCAGTAATGCAGACGTTGTATCTGACCAGGGATCTGGAGTTACCAGCCGAAGCGTGTTTACTCAGCCTTAGGAGGAGCTTGGACATCAGGAGGGAGTCGCTGCTCCTTTGGTTTGTGCATCTGATTAGTTTAAGGGTTTGATGAGGATTTATGATTAAGCTCACAGTCTGTTGCATCCAGCCGCATCCAGCAACGTGGGGAGATCCAGATTCAATTCAAGACTCACATTTAAACCAAACACATAAACAAAACAAACACGTTACCCTGAAGGGAAGCCGTCACAGAGTTTGTCTGAAATCCGTGCAGGTTGTGGCTTTAAACGGATGCAGATGTGCCGGTAAATGAACGTTTCTATGCTGTGAGCTGTAAAAATGTGGAGTCGGAGCTGAAGCCTGCATGTGAGAATCGGCTCTCTGGACTTTAAATCCTTTCTGCATTCGGTCTTTGTGTTTCCTGGGGGATTTATTTTCCACGTGACCCCGGCAGTATGTTGACCCCAGAATGAAACCCGGGAGATTGTAGATTTCAGTCCCAGATGCTGGATGGTTTGTTTGACAAACTCTGTCACTGGGTTGAAAATGACCCATTTACTGCCTCAGTGGTACGCTACGTATATATTCAATAATAATAGTGATGATGACGATAATGATAATATTTAGAATTGGCTTGACTCTCAAAGACTCAAAGTGTAATTTGTAGTCAGTGGAAGCACCTGATGAAATGACCACACAGAGGAACAGCAAGTCATCAGAGCAGAAGGAACTCACATAGACGCAAAATCCTGCAACAGCAGACAAGAAAAGACTCCAACGAGTCGGGATGTCTGATAATATTCAATACGCTGATATTGTCCAACTCTCAATTTCTGATTCCAATATCAAGCTAATATATGTTTGTTCATGCAGCCACGCTTATTATTATTATATTATACTTATTTTATTATTATAGGCATTATATCCATCCATC